ATATGCACACTCTCCTAATGTTGCTTCTATATCTTGTGGGATTTCTTGCTGTACCATTTTCTTTTCAACAAAATATCTGATCACGGCACGAAGTTCGATCTTCTTCATGACGTTTAACACTGTTCATTTATTTCCTTTAAAAATCCGCAACACACAAAATCAGATCGTCGAGTTATATGTAACATGTTGTTTATTTATAAAAAGGTTTAAACTTAACATTTAACTAAAAAAATCATACATTCTGTTTTTGTTTAGGTCAGACCATAAACTTTTTAAACAACTCTCGTATATCTTCCCAGTAAAATAAATAAGAAAAAAAATCATTTATATCAGTCACAGCTCACTTTAAAGTGTCTTGTAACACATGCTTTTTTCCCAAATTTTGGAAAAGAAAACTGGCAGAAATATTACAGCACAATTGGAATATCACAATATTTTACAAAATAAATTTGTTTCTTTGTTTTAGAGCAAAGCCAAATTGGGTTATCTCCTTTGTCCACCATGGGGAGTCAAGCCCAGATTTTAGGATTGTAAGTCCATAAACATACCGCTGTCACAACAGGGAATCCAAAAATATTTAATTTGTGCACATTTTAATGTGTTACAAACTAACAGTATACATAAGACACTTAAGAAAACTCTTCTGTGATTCATGTTCATTTAAACAACCAATACACAGTCTTCCCTGGAGCACTAGGATGTAGCCAATATGAGATACAACGGCTGTTAAAGAACGGAATCGTACAGCTTTCACAAAGTGCATTGTCACTTTCAGTGGCAAATGTTTGGAAGAATAGGAGTAACAACAAAGATCTGTGGCGACGTTTGATTGGTGAACGAGGTGACTTACATTGATGCCTTTTTCCTCTGAATATATGGACGTCTTTAGACCTGGTATCTTGATAGTGGAAAATAAAATTGGATGACGAGAATCAAGCTAAGATTCTTTACACCACACATGATGGTTTGTTTGAGTTTTGCATAATGCCTTTCAGCCTGAGAGCTTATGCTAAAGGGGCTACAATGGGACACAAAAATACGATACCCTATAACCTGAGTGCGCTCGAAAGTTGGACCTTACTTTTTCAGGGGCAAACTAGTTTTTGTGTTAACTTGATTTCTTGAAGAATCTACTTGGGACTATAATAGGAAATATGCCTGGGATATTACGATAATGTTTTGGTGTTTTTGCACATGTTTAGGTCTGCTGCTGAAAGCTTGAAAATAGGACTTTAGTAGATCATAAAACAGGTTTCCAGTTGAAATAGGGAAACGTACACTCCTGTGTATACAGGTGGAACTTCTTGGTCATATTGTGGGTAGAGATGGAGTCTTTGCTGAACCCTGCCAAGATCACAGAGGCTTCAACCTGTGAGCAAATGAGAAATTTTTAGTTTCCTTGGTTTTGCATCGTATTACTGACGTTTTGTGACCAGATTCTCCAAGACTGTCACACAATCATCTGCCCTCAGTAAATCCGAAGCACCTTTTAGAGGGTTAAAAGAGTGCAAACAAGCATTCTTGTCACTAAAGCTTGTTTTAGTTGAAGCTCCAGTGTTGGCATATCCACAATAGGGTGTTGGGTTTAATACTATTGCCAGTGAAAGTGGAATTGGGGTAGTGTTATCACAGTTCAAGGATGAAGCTTATGTGTAATCATGTAAGCTAGCCGTAAGCTCACAGATCCTGCTTGCAGATGCTGTATGACAAAGAATGAACTATTTGCAGTTATGGTTTTCATGCAACACTAACTACATTACCAGCATGGTAGAAAGTTCATCATTCAGGTGGATTATGCGTCACTGAGGTGGCTTTGGAACTTTAAAAATCCAGAAGGGATGATTGCATGTTGGATCACAACATTGAAGGAGCAGGCCTTTGCTTACTGCATCGTTTGGGCCTGCAGTACAGAAATACCAATGAATCATTTACTGCGTGATATGATCCTGTCCTTTTATCGAATATCCCAACCTTGGAAACCATGTAGCAATTAAAACCGTTTGTGCTATAATGATGTCAAGCCATATATGGTAGGTGATGCAACTAGTGATTGGATACCGCAATTAATGCTTCATGAGCTTAGACAATAACAACTAAAAGACCCAAATCTAGTATGAATGCTCCTTGCTGTGCAACAAGGGAAATTATGATCAGAAAAACAAAAGAACGTAGCATAGAGACACATAAGCTGTGGTACTTATATTGATCAACTACGAGTGCAGGAAGGTGTGCTGTACCATAATTTCCAAGATGTAGTTCTCAATCTGTGTTGCAGCTAATGGTCTACAGACCTCTTAGGCAGAAAATTTTCAAACTGCAATACACAAAGACTGGAGCAAGATGTTACACACACGTGTAGTAAAGAGCAATGGTGGTTTGACTTGGCCAAATTTGAATCAAAATGTTAAGCAGAGGTTTAAATAGTGTACAATATGTGCACTGACCAGATAAAAAGCCAGCCTAAAGAGGGTAAACTCCAGCAGAGAAATTTGGGTTTGTGTTCAGTCTCTTTCTTTCACAACCCAGTAAAAATCAGAAGATTCAGAATTACACAACGATACATTCCCTGATTGAAATTCCTGTTATTCAACAGAATCTACCAATTATTGGTGTATCTGAGAATAATACAGAGGCATGATAGATATTGTCTTGAAATACCTCAAAACTATTTGATAAATTTATGTTGGGGTAAGAAGCAGGTGATTGAAAGAGTATGGGTTTTTGATAAATGTCTTATGTATTTACATCCTTGCGTTAGTGTTTTAAAGCTATAAGCATTACATTACATTCTTTCAAGTGAAATTTTAATTATTAAAAGTAATTATTATAAATAAAATGATGTAGTTATAATCATAAAAATTCACAAACATAAACTATCATTTTTCTTGCTTGAATTATCATGTACTGTTACTTTTCAATTAATTACACTGTACAATATATGAAAAGTCCAAAGTGTGAAAGTATTCTTGTAGCCTAGTTATGCTGATATGTACTTAAATATATTTTTTGCAAATCTTAACATAAGCTGTCAGAAGGAGTAATAATTCCAATGCAGACAAACACATTTTTTTGTAAATTTTGAAGTAATTTTTATAGTTTCAAATATTTAGAACAACATTATAATTTATTTAATTGTTAATCCACAAGTATACTGCAAATATGTCTGTTTGCTCATTAGGTAGAGCATCAGTCTCAGAACACGTTTAAGACAAAAGTAGATTTTTTCATAACTAGTAGGTGTACCACTTCAGAGGACCATATGAACCAAATATATATACTTAATACATCAGTTGGTCTAGTTTAGTGTGTTTGCAAATATATGGTGAATTAAAGGATATAGTAATGGGTAGGATTGACTTTTGTTTGCTTCAGACTTGAGCTTGGTAGTTGAACTTGTAGCGCTTTGGTTTCAGAAGAATAGTATGAGGAGAGGGTCAGGGCAGATTTTTTAATATCCTGATAATTTACAATAGCTCTCATGCTGATTGATAATTAAAATGTGTAATAATTACTATTAAATGAAAGAGTCCGCAACTCGACACAAAATGTTGAAATACTCACCTTCTATTGAGGGTTGAGTGTGTTATATTAAAACAATTTTAAAATTTCTAATTCAGCAAGTCATGTGACAACTACAGCCAATATATGACAGCAGTGGAATGGCATGTACCAGAATTACATTTTGACATTGTTTGGCATAAATTTTTTTATCTCTTTCGGAATAGATGTGTAACAGCTCTTTATAATAAAAAAATATTCACTCAGGTCATAAAGATAGGGGAATCCCTTGAACCTAATGACAAACTGATACGGATCAGTGTTATGACACCATGATTATCGAGAAAGAGATTTGCAGCAAGCCATATCATAGCCTTGGTCAGCAAAGTGTTGTGTCGTATAACAGGTGAGAAGCCATGGACACAAAGTTCAGTGACAAATGCCATGTCTCCCATGCAACGATATTCAATAAAGAACGATCTCATCTGGAAAAACGGCCAACAGATAATTGTTACATCTGTTCAATCATTACATCATCAAGCAGTTGGAGAATTAAATAGGTAATCATGCTGTTCCATATGAAGTCATACTGGTCAAGTTGCTAGAAGTATTGCGTATGGTTATCAGTGTTATTGGGCTGTTGAAACAGGTGCTTGCGGAGAGGAGCGATGTGCTGTGGACATAACAGTTTTATGACGGAGTCTTTTGCAATACAAACTATGTTGACAAGATTCTCGGTCGTTAGATAGTGCATGATTGTACAGGGTGATATGGATTGTAACATTGTGGTGAGGCTCCAAAATAATTTAAATATAACATTCTCAACCTCTGTAATTTAGAAATTCTTAGTTGAACTTTGAATATTAGTTTGAGAGGTCATGATAGATTCAAATACAATATTTTATTCAATATTTATAAAGCCATGGGTATAATATTTGAATGCATTGTTCATTTGAGACATCATACAAAATATTTTGATATGTTTTTCAAGTTCTCGACAAAAAAGAGAGAAAACGATTTGTTTTTTTTAATAACTTATTTTTCCCATGTCTATAGCATCAGAAAATTATCTTGCTTTAATATGCTTATATAACACTGCTCAGTTTGTAACTTTTTAAAAGTACAATTTGTGCATATGTTTACTGCTTTATGAAAATCTTACTTGTTGAAACATTAAACTTTGTACTTCAAAGTTCCACATTCATATTATATAAGAACGTCATAAGAAAAATCAAGATGATAAGAAGGCCATTAAGGCTGTCTTCCTTCCTTACTCAATACAAACTCCGAAACATCAAGTCTAAAATACATGAAGCCCTTCACGTTCAGAAAATGATGAATTACTTTAAACAACAATCGTAGAGGAGCTGACATTTTCTAAATTTTTGTCTGTGTTTTAACTTTTTAATAAAGAACGAGACCAATTTATAGTTTTAGATTGATATCTCTTTTGAACTAATTATTTATCAAATACCAGAGAAATCGTTTATAAATATTGGTAGGTTAATCTGGCTGATGTCGATGGCCTTCAATGGGCAGACAAAAAACGAGATGGAGTAATAGCCATCAAAGTAGGGCAGGAAGGACAGTTGTTACTATGGACACCACATGGCTTGGATGATTGGATGTTTTCTTTGCGAGATGCTATGAGTCGTAGTAAGGGTAGGCGAGAAGTTCTTCGGAAGTCACAGACTTTAGTTCCTCAACTTTCTGATGTAGGACTAACAAAAAGGTATGGGTAATTATTCTTGTTATCCTTATATTTTGAAACAAGATTTATACTCGAGCTTCACATTGTTTTATGCATGCAAATAGAGTTTTAAACTATTTTTATTTCCTTCAACGATAAGAAACAATTATATTAGCCAGTGCCCATTTACATCAGAACAGTTATAGCTATTCTACATTTGTGTAAAATTGGAAAGAATGGTAAGTTATAAATGATCTTATTGGAGTTTAGAGGATTATTCAGGGGATTTATAGTATAAAGGCCTCACATTGTCTTCTGGTGGATTTTGAAGATAATAGTATAAGAGTTCTAAAGTTTAATATTTAGGACACGTTATAGGTCTTATTAAGAAATAGTTATTTTTCTAAAAGTGTGATTGACATATGGAATGAGTTGCCGACAGCAGTAGTGGAAGCTTTCCAAAAATGTATGAGGAGAATCAATGATTATCTAAAAAATAAAAAGGTTTAAATTTTTTGCTTTACAAGGGTGGGTGTGCAAGGAAAGCCTTGATGGAAAAATGGCCCCTTGTTTTATGTATGTTAAAAGAGATTAGCTTGTTTTCATTTTGTGATTATCAGTGCACAGAGTTAAAATTGACTTTGTGGTAAATTTGTTCAACTGAAATGTATTATTTAATGTCGCCAGGCATCTGTACACTCTGCAACATACCCTATCTGATAGCTACATGCAGACCTCTTTGATGTGCCACCACAACACCAGCAAATACCTTCAGCGTTTCGGTGATCTGAGGCCTGTTGCAGAGAAACAGTGTACACCTTATATGGGTAAACGCTCAGATGGAATGTCTGGTGAGTTGGTTTTATTCGCATCTTAACAGCTCTATTAAACATATCTTACAATAACATCACTATGGTTAGTTGAATTATATATGTAAATGAGCTCTCATCTAGTTATCATGTTCATTCTTTCAAATTCTCGTGTTAATGCCAAAAACTAGAGAAACGTTCACTAAAACTGTGTTGAAATAAGGTGAGTACATTAACTGATGTACAAGGAAATGAATGTCAAGAAGTACCCTTCCCCCAAATATTCGGCAAAAGTGGAAAAATAGAAATTAAACGCTAAAGTCGTATATATATGTTGTTGGGTATTTTCAACAACTCAGATGTGGAGTTTTAGTAAATGTACTCTTAAGTGTTGTATTTATTTAAGGCCCTACAAAGCTAATTACCCATATTTCCGTTTTTCCTTCTACACCTAACCACTATTTCTAGTGTTTGTATAAGAAAAAGGGCCTTTTAAAACAATTTTTTCTCAACTTGTTTTCCACTTTGCATTTCAACTCAAACTGATGTTATATGTTTCTCTCTTCCCTCCAAAGTTCTGATGTTTTTAAAAGTGAAAAATAATTCTCTATCCCTATACCTACATTACTTTAGAAGAATGAGATATAAGAAGTCTATGTTGTATCTATATAGAATGTGAGTCTTGTTTTGGAAACTTTATGAACCCTAAGCTAGAGGTATTTACTGTTTTCTACTAAATTCAAAAATTATCTCAGAGGAAATGACGTTAGAAGATATGTATATTAGATTCGCATTAGTTACTAAAAGTGAAGTACATTTAAAATTTGATGCTTGTTTAACTTGAGAGAAAAACGTACAG